AGTATCGCAAAGAATCCTGTTCATCATGACCGAACGAAACACATTGAGATTGATCGGAACTTCATTTCAGAGAAGGTGGACAATGGAATCATTGAATTGGTCTATACTCCTTCTAGAGACCAAACCGCAGACATTCTCACCAAGGCTCTCCCTAAGTCCAGTTTTGATGAGCTAACCAACAAGTTGGGCATATACAATCTGTACAAACCACCTTGAGGGGGAGTGTGGAATTACGCTCATTATTATTTACTTTAATTCTATTTAGTACTTGCTATATTTAGTCATAATATAAAAAGAGTAATTCTTAATTATAGGTATTTATGTTTATTCCATAATTATAGGAATTACTTAATTGTAGGAAGATTTCTTTCCTCGTTTTATCTCTTGTACACGCCTATTTATAGGTGAATTATCTATGTATTCATTGAGAAGAAAGTTATTCAAAATTCACATGGTACAAAGGTAAGGTTGTGCGCACCAAGCTATCCTTTGATCATACATTTTGCATCAATCTTGTTTACTGGGAACACCCTTTATTTTCCTCCTCAAAATGCTTAATCTTTAGTGAATTTTACATATATACCACATATTTCTTATCTATTTACATTCCTAACACCTAAAGTTCGATATTTAATTTATAGCACTTTGATGACTATGCATGAGAAGACGTGTTTCACTTTTATAAAGTTAGGAATGGTGGTATTTTTGATTTGATGATTAAAATTTGAGTGGCAAGCATGTAAATTTAAAATTTTAGGTGTTAGATATGTAAATATTTAAGAATTGTGTGGTATGCATTTACACGCCCCTAATTTTTTGCTATTTTCTTGTGCACGAACTCACTCTTTCAAAACATCATATCATAGGATGAAAAGAGTATCTTTGTAATTTTTTTGATGGTAAAGTCATGATTTATGTTTTTTAAAGTGAGTGGTGAATATTAAATTGCAACTTTAAAGCCAAATTTATGACACATTTCCATGCTTTAACACTTTGTTTTCTTTAGTTTGGCATCGTTACAGATTTTTTTTTAGGCCTGCCTTAGATGTTTTCTTGAAATGGTGGAACAAATTCTATCCTCTTTATTAAAAAAATATACATATTTTTCTGATTAATTCTTTCCTGGTTATTTACACAGGTTAGCTTGACGTTGAACATATCAGCAGATCTGCAATCTTTGTTCACTTGGAACACCAAACAGGTTTATAAACATTTAGTTTTTATAAAATTATTCTGGAAGCCATGTTTTTGTTTATTGAGATTTAGCTAGTCGTGAAATAGTCTTGTCTTTGCTCAAATGTGTATTATTTTTCGAGGCCGCAGTGGCATGGATGAACAATTTTCGTCGGTTATGAAATTGTGGTACCAACTTGCCATCATTTACCAAATTCATTGCCAGCCCTATTTACTAAAATATTCTTTGTGAAATTGCAAACAATGATCTGAACTTAGTAATTTTCTTTACGCCATTGCTGTGTTTATCATAGTTGAATCTTGAGATTAAATGTTCAACCATGCTGTTGGTTGGCAATGATTATTTAGATTGAAGTGATATTGGAACCGGCTCTAACAAAAGTTTGTTGTGGCTAACTTAACGTAAATATAGGATTAAGCATAGAATAATTCGTAGGATATTTACCACTAGTTTTCTACTAATACTAGGTTAAAAATTAATCATGGCTTATGGTACAATTTTCAACCGAATGAAATAGTTTTGTAGAAAATGGAAAAGTTTTTAATATTTGGTTTACATTTTAGGCGAACATTAGTGCCATAATGATCACCAGCTATATGTTTTGTTGATCTCATTTCATTGAATGATGCTTCGGCTGTATGGCTGATGTTTGGTGGAGATAGAAATCTTCAGTCTGGCGCTAAGGTTACTTTGGTTTTGATTTGCCTTAGCTGTTGTAGTGCTTTGATTTGTTGCGGGAAGTTAGAAACAAGTTCAGTATTTTGTTATTGATTTTGTAGCTGGTTTGAAAAGTAAGTTTTTTAATTTCTTGAAATAGGTGCGACATTTTAAAATAAATTTTATTGATTGAGTTCTCTTAAGCTTTATTTTTTTCTCTCCATTTTGAAATCATTTGATTTCCTTTTTCTCTTGAATTCAATCTTGAGATGTGAAGGATTGTAAAAGAGAACAGTTTGTGAGAAAGAAATGAAGTGATAAGTTGGTTCTTCTGAGTGTAAACTTTTGTGAATTTCTATATTATCAGGTGCAGGAGGCTATAAAAAATTTCTTTGTGTTGGTGTGGGAAAGGGAAGCATTCTAATTCCTTCTTCATGCACGAGAGAGAGGACTGTCATAGAATATGAGAGAGAGGGAATCAAAGAGGAGTGCTTTAATATCAATTCAAAGATAGAACAAACAATCTGCTTCATACCTCCAATCATGGAAGCTTGATTTACTATTTAAAATTCTATTTAGATTATGGTAAGTCTTATATCCTAATTTTTATTCCTATCTAATTTAAATAAAAATAATTAATTTAATGATAAGGTAAATTTTTATTTAGATTTTGATTTTTTGTAGTTTGATTCTTTATGAAATTGATTTTTGTCATGAATCTGGGCTTGGCTTCATGTGCTATTTACTCCATGGGGCCAAAAGAATTCATCTTCACTATATACTTTTCCAACAGACATGGTCTGATGTTCATCACCTTTACATGTGTAGTCTAAGAATATTCAGGAAGAGATTGATTCTTTGAATGAACAATGTACTAATAATTGTAAGCAAACTTTACCGTCCAAACATATATATATTGACATAAAGTTCGCGTATATTCTCAATGAAAGATGCGCTAGTTTGAGAATATTGTGGATAGGCATGCTTTCTAAGGTGCTAATATCATAACTTCTAAAAAAACTTTTTTAATTTTAAGACAATTTATTGTAAGCAAACTTTGCAATCTGAAGCTTTAAATCTCATTTGCCCAATAAGACATTACAATAGATTAGTTGAATACTTATTGATCACCTCTATTTTTCTCGCAATCGTTGAATGAAATGTAGTTGATAATTTTAAAAGAAGAATGCCAAACCATTTAAATTTAACAAAAGTGGCCAACAAGTGGTACATTATGATTGGATGCCATTAAATTTGGTAATACACTGAATCTAATAATTTCTTGAAGATAAACATTCTGCCGTGACAAGCAATTTTAGAGGAATGTATAAAGTATGTCAGCTTTAAATTTTATTCATGACCCAAAAAAAAGAATCATGCCTTTAGAAGTTTTAGTTAAACTTATGATGAAATCCATCCTTAAGTAAGCCAATAAATGATTTCGTATATATAAGGAAGTATAAATTCTAGATGGTTGTAGTGGCTCAACCTAATTTACAATTACAATAATGTGAAATATTTTGATATTTAATACGATTTATGGAAGGCCATTTGAAAATTTGATGACATTTATATGATAGTCTTAATAGCTGTGCAACTGGGGGGTTGATTTTATCTGGCATAGATATGATAAAATCCAAATTTACAATGTATAATTTGAAATTTTACATTTAAATTTTCTTACAAAGTGTCGATTAAATTCACAATTTTTAACTTAAATTTTTTTAATACATTTTTGCTTAGCAAGTTGAAATTTTATATTTACATGAAGTTTGCATATATACTCAACAAAAGAGGCACCAGTTTGACAGTATGGTGAGATATGCATGCTTTATAGGGAATGTTATAAACAACTCCAAAAAGAACTTAGTTGTGAAACACATAATACTATTGTAATTAAACTAGATTCTGAAGGTTTAAATCTCATTTGCCTAAAAAAGCATCAATAAACATTGTAATAGATTACTTGAATGCTTATTGTTCTCCTCTACTTGTGCAACGAACTTCGGATGGAATGTGGTTGACAATTTTAAAGAAGAGCGCCGAACCATTAAAGTTCTTTAAAATTGGCCAATAAACAGTTTATTTTGCTTAGATGTCATTAAGTTAGGTAATACATTCGATCTAATAATTTTTTGAAAATTAACATTGCTATTGTTTGGCATAAGCAACTTCGGAGCTAAGTATGAAGTGATCATCTTTAAAATTTATTCACCATATCAAATATAGAATCATGCCTTTGATTAACCTGTGATGAAATCCATGCTTAAGTTAGCCCATATATGATTTGGGATAGATAAAGAAGTGAAGTTTATAAGTTTGCAGTAACACAGCCTAATTTACAATGATAACCCTATAAAATTATGCTACTTATATAATGATTTATGGAGGCTATTTGGAATGTAATGAACTTATATGATAAACTTATCTAGTGGTGGTACTAGAGTGGCTTTTGCCTCCCATATATTTATGAAAATCCTATCTAACAATGTATAATTTTAACCTGTACTCTTAAATTCTATCTCAAAGTGTTCATTAAATTCTTACATTTGTTTATAAAGTCATCCATAAATTTATATTTTTACATTGCTTAGCAAATTATATTTGCATGAAGTTTCTGCATATACTCAACAAAAGATTCTCCAGTTGAGAGTTTAGTAAGATATGCATGCTTTATAGGGTAAGACGCACAAAACTATTGTAAGCAACTCTGCACTATTTAGCTTTAAATCTCATTAGTCTAAAAATAACCCATAAGACATTGCAATATTACTTAAATACTAATTGATCACCTGTATTTGTCCCACAAACTTTGGATGGAATGTACTTTCTGATTTCAGAAAGAGTACAAAATCATTAAAGTATGACACAATAGTCAATAAACTATACATTATAATTAGATGCCATTAAATTAGGTAATACATGCAATCAAAAAATTTTGTTGAAAAATAACATTGCTATTGTGAGGCATAAACAATTTTGGAGCAAATTAGAAAGTGTATCATCTTTAAACACCTTAGAAAATATATAATCATGACTTCTATAAGTTGTAGGTAAACCTGTGATGAATTCCTTGCTTAAGTTATCCCATAAATGATTTGGGATATGTAAGGTAACGTCTAGAAGGTTCTAGTAGCCCGACCTAATTTACAATTACAACACTCAAAATAATGTGATTTATATCATGATTTATGGAAGACAATTGGAAATGTGATGAAACTTATGTGATAGCCTTATTTAGTGGTGGAATCATGCGGTGGCTCTGTGCCTCTCATAGAACAATGTACAATCTGAATATTTACTTTTAACTTCTCTTACAATCATTTATAATGTAGAAGCTAGGTAAATCTTTTTGTCCCATCTCACTTGAAATCCTACTTTCGCCACTAGTCTTATCCCACTGAAGTTGTTGAGATACTCCACTAATATGGAATCCCTTTATGAAAAAGTCACATATTGAAATGCAAGGGTTACCTAACAAATAGTCATTAAATATATAATTATTATTCACTTGAAAATCATTCTTTTGTGTAGCTATAGGATCCTAGCAGAATGACGTGTGGAATATAATTCAAAGCATGAATGGTACTATTTTTTTTGATCTATTAGATTTTGGTAACTTAACAAAGCCATCAATTGACTGAGAATGTACATGCTTTAAGGCACTAACAATCTTGTTATTAACGCCTATCAGGTGTCTAATCCTTAAATTGTACTCTTCAAGCTATGTAACCCATACAGCATGCCTAAAATTTCTTCTCTTTTATTTTGAATTGTAGAGGCGTCAAAGGCTTATAATGAAAGCAAAGTACTAACTTTTATGGTAATGGATAGTTTCTCCAGTGTCCGTGTCCCGATCAAAATATAAATTCATGATTATATGTTATATAATTATGTTTTGTAGATATAAATTTCACGCTAAAGTATACGCTTTTGAATATACTCCATAATCTACGAGGCATGTGCTTGGGTTTAGAGTTGGCTGCTCTAATATGTTGAATTTTTCTCTCCCTTTGTGCGGCTTAAGTATGAATCCGGCTTTCAGTTAAGAAAAAAATATAATTGATCTTATTTCTATCATATCATTAATAAAATATTTGGTATATATTTCTTTCCTTTAAAAAAATTCTACCGGGTTGAACACGTTGGCTTAGGACAGCACTAATGCCAACACAAGAGGCATCATATGATGCCTGTAAATTTTGATAAATCATATAGTTTAAGAAATGCGGTTCTCTTGAAAGGCATTTTGTGAAGGTGCTTGATGAAAATTCATGTATTTTGGTTTATCAATAAATGAAGCCATAATCTAGATGACCCCTTATGTATAAAGTGGCTATATAATGGAA